TGCTATGGGATGAATTAAAGGCAGGTCCATCTAGATTAATTTTTGTATCAGGGGAAATAATTAAAACTCCAATAATCAGGATACATAGTAGAGAGAAACAAGGGCCATGAGACGTTAAGTTCTCTGGGCCTTAGCGACACAGCTGGACAATTCGCAGCAGAGGCTGGGCTCCAGGAACCCTACTGCAGTGCTGGGTGATTTCCTGAGGATCTCTTTTTGGCCCCTCCTTTCTTGATTCCTTATCTTCTGTTTTTTGTTGTTTTGTTGAGGCATGGTCTCCTATAGTCCAGGCTAGCCTTCAATTCCCTATATAATCCAGGCTGGTTTTGATCATCTCTGTTTTGAAAGTACTTTGGCTCCCCTGGGGAGAGCCCTGGGCTTCAGGCTGGGGTTTCTGTTCTGAGGAGAAAAGGTCAGCTGAGTGACTTTTAAGACTTGATTTGTGTGTGTGGTTACTTTTGATACCATTTTGTTTTTGTCCTCATGACAACTGAGGAAGAATAGGGAGGAGCAGGTAGAAAAAGAAGAGATTATGGCAAATGGATTACTAAGTGTAGTGGTCCACGCTTACAATCCCAGCACTCAGGAGGCAAGGCAGGAGGAGTGTGAATTTGGGGCCATCCTGGGCTACATAGTAAGTTCAAATCTATACAAAGAGACACTGTGTGTCACACACACACACACACACACACACACACACACAAAAGCACATGGGTTCTTTCTGGATGTATGGATGCTGACTGATTGGCTGAGTTATTGATGACTAATGGGTAGATGAAGGTTAAGTGATGGTTGTGTAGATATGTGGATAATGGTTTGATGGATAACAGTCTAATGAATGATGTGTGGGTGACAATGTACAGACAGAAGGGCAGGAGTCACCAGTAAAGTCTCTCAGGATCACCACAGGTCTTATGTATAGCTTTAGTTGATAACTTTGTTCCAGAGGTGGCATGGTATAGCAGTAAGAGGTCAGCCTCTGGAATTACACAAAAGTAGGTTTGGATCATGACAGTCCCAGTGGACATGGATTTAACCTCTTGAATCAAAGTTTCCTTAATGGTCAAAAGAAGATCCTACCCTAGTGGCTACCTCCCCAGAGTTAGGGTGAGAGTTACATGAGATTACATCCTAGCATGAGGCTTGGTACATTAAAAGTTATCATTTAGTGATCATTTTGAGCAAAGATTGATTGAGGTCTCCAACATGTTGAATGCCTATAGGCTACAGAAAGGAGATCCAGAACTGTCTCTAGATAGGCAAATGACATGATATTCTTTTGAAGATCTGAGAGTTATGATAAGTGGTATATGAGTGGCCTCTAGGCAGGTAGCAGGTGGCATAATGAAGCGGCAAAATAAAGGATAAATAATACATTCATGAAGAGTAGTTCAAGCCAGGCATGGTGACATGTACCTGCATGCCTGTCAGCTGGGAGGTGGAGGCAAGAGACTCAGGAGTACAAGTTCATCCAAGGCCAGCCTGGGCTACAGTGAGATCCAATTGTTGTCCAGAAATGAGGTCCAGGAGGCCAGGAGGACTGACCTTTGTGCTATTAATGATTTCCTGAACTGTTCTGAGAGCCCCATATTTGGTATGATTTTGACTACCAGGCATTGTTGGTTACATAACTGCCTGGGCACCCAAATCAAGGGGAAAGGTGAGGTTTCTGTTGAGCCTTTTGAAACCTTCATCTTATGTAGCTCAGGGAGTTTCTCCCACCTCCTTCAGGAGAACCAGCATAGGGAGCAGAATCTCCTGGGGGCCTGTTTGATTCACATTCTTCTGTAGTGCTCTGGACTCCTGTGATGAAGAACAGCTTTGGGAAATTTGGCCCTTAGGCTGAGAGCAGCACAGAGCACTCAGGGGTCTGGGGTGAAGCTAGTAGAGGAATGGGAAGGCGGAGAGAAGAATCAGGCACCACTTAGCCCATACCTAGAGACCTGAAAGCACTCAGGGTCATTCCTGTCCCTGGAGCTGGAGTGGGTTGTGGGAAGGGCAGGACCCAGAGGCATTTTATGTGGATCCTGGCACTGTAACTTGGGCAGGGGAAGGTAAGTGGCAAGGGCCAGGAGTGATGCCAGAGGAGGATCCACCAAAAAGGAAGCTGTGTCCATTCTCCCAATCCCAGAACCCCACTCTGTCCTTTCAAGTTTAGAGAAATTTTGGTTTTGGTCTTAGGGACTGAACCCAGGGCCTTATGCATGCTAGGCAAGTATTCTACCACTGTGTGCTATAGCCGCAGTCTTTGTGTTTTGTTTTTGTTTTTGTTTTGAGACAGGATTTTGCTATATAGCCCAGATGGGTTCAAACTGTTTGGGGGGAGTTTTTTGAGACAGGGTTTCACTATGTAGCCTTCTATGACTCTATGTAGACTAGGCTGGCCTTGAATTCACAGAGCTCTGCCTGTCTCTGCCTCCTGAATGCTGGGATTAAAGGTGTGTACCATCATACCCGGCAAATTGTTTTAAAGTTTATTTATTTATGTATGTGTGTGCTCGTGGGTGCGTGGTGTGTGTGTGTGTGTGTGTGTGTATGTGTGTGTGTGTGTGTGTATGTGTGTGTGTCTTTATGCATGTGTGTTCAGGTGCCTTCAGAATCCAGAAAAGGGTGTCGGATCCCCTGGAGCTGAAGTTGCAAGTGGTTGTGTACTACCTGATATGAATGCTAGGAACTGAACTCTGGTCTTCTGAAAGAGTAGCAAGTGCTTGTAACTACAGAGCCATCTTTCCAGCTCCCAACCTCAAACTTTTGGTCTTCTTTCCTCTGCCTTCTGAGTACTGAGATTACAGATGTGCTAGTGCAGGCTCTTTAGATTAAAGGATTAATATGATGATAGTTAATGTTGATTCTTACTTTATGACAGGTTCTATTCTTAGCATTTTGTAGGTATTATGTAGTCCATTTATTTCTCACCAGTGTGACACACCAGTAAATGTCACAGGCAGGGGTTGACTCCAGCTCCACCTGGCTCTCAAGTCATGTGGTTTTTTTTTCTCTGTGCCATGCAGTCTCCTGGGAAGGCGGGGGGGGGGGGGGTCTCTGCTGCCTGGATTGTTGGCTCAAATGTTTTCATACATGGACAGGGCCTCAGTAACAACCATTAATGTAGTGAAACAGACTCAATGAGAGAAATGTCCTGCACAGCACAGCCACCACTTAGCAGGACAAGAAAGTAAGGGCTAGGCATGGTGGCATGTACTTGTAATCTCAAAACTCAAGAGGCCAAGTCTAGAGGATCATAAGTTCAAGCCCAGCCTGGGCAAGACGCTGTCTTCAAAAAACAAACAAACAAAAAACAAAAAATAAGGGCAGGCAAGATGGCTCAGCAGGTAAAGGCACTTGTTGCTTCAACTTGAGTTCAATTCCTGGAACCCACTTGGTGAAAGGACAGAACTAATTCCTACAAATTGTGTTCTGATCTCCACACACACCCTGTGGCACATGTGACCACCCCTCAAATAAATGCAATTAAAAAAAAAAAGAGTTGGGGCTAGAGAGATGGCTCAGTGATTAAGAACACTGGTTATTCTTGCAGAAGACCCAGGTTCAAATCCCAGGACCCACATGGCAGCTAACAACTGTCCATAACTCCAGTCCCAGGGGATCCGACAGCCTCTTCTGACCTCCTCGGGCATTGCACGACATGGGTGCATTGACCTACATGCAGGCAACACACGCATACACATAAAATAAAAATTAAAAAAAAAAAGAGTCCTGTGATATGTAGTCCAGACTGGATGTAATTGCTTAGGGATGTGTGAGTGAGGATGTGTTTGTGTGAGAGACAAAGAGTAAAGAGGTCAGCATGCCTATGTGTGCAGACATTTACACAATGCACGTACATGGCTGTGGATTTGTCTTAGAGATACTGGCCTGGCCCCTTCTGCATGCCTTCTTTGGGCCACATGAGGAAATCACTCATGTCTCTTCACACTACACTTTCATCTTTCCCTCCCTGCCTCCCTGCCTCCCCCCCCCCCCTACCAATTTCTTTCTTGACAGGGCCTCCCTATAGCCCCAGCTGGCCTGGAACTTGCTATGTAGACCAGGCTGGCCTCAAACTCACAGAGATCCATGCCTCTGCTTCTGAGTGCTGGAGTGCTGGGATTAAAGGTGTGCGCCACACCGCCCAAACTCACTTTTTTTTGTAATCCCAAATTACGCCCAGGAAGTCCCTCAGACAGGCATGTTTTTGTTCCTGGAAAAGGTACCCAAAAAAACCACACCAAAGATCATCCCTAGACAGGGCTGCCAGGGCCATGTGCCTGCTTCCCAGCCTGTAGTCCACCCTGCGGCATCTGCCAGACACCCACAGGGGCTTTCCAGGGAAGTCTGTTCCTGTAGCCTGTGGTCATGGCTTTGCAAAGGCAACACTGTGGGTCTGGACAAGCTCTGATGTATGAGGAATGTAAGCCTTGTGACTTTGCATTCACACCTGGGTCATATGACAAGGCTGTGTGTGTGTGATTGTGGGTAGCCAGGAACCTGTAGGAGATCATCCAGGAGAGGAAGGCCTTCTCTGGATCTAGAAGTTCTTACAGATGTGAGCTCATCTGTATTTTCCCAGTAACAAATCTCCCTATTTTATAGGTGAGTCGACTGAGGTCAGAGAGGCCCATGCCTGTGCCTGAGGTCACACTGCCAGTAAATGACAGAGCCAGGATTCAGACTCTTGAGCTGAGAAGTCTGCATCCCTGGGATCACTCAGGAAGCAGATTGCTGAGAACACTGGAGTGTATGAGGACATTGCTTGAGACCTGGGGCCTGGCTCCATCACTGTCGAGACCTTTAACCTTGGGCATGTTACAAAGCTTTTTTCTCTGCAGCTTGAGGTCTTTTCTATAAAGTAGCAGTGTAGCAGATGTATATTAAAGGAGATGATTAATGTAAACTTTCTGCTCAGCCCAACTCCAGCCTGAATTATATTATGTATTATTATGTCCTCTTCCTGTCCTGGCACCCCTGGCTCACCCCTTCCTCTCTCCCTATCCTCACAGATCATTACTGGGACTTCCACCCACACCACGTGCATAGTGAGTTTGAGAGCTTCCCTGAGAACCACTTCACTGAGCTGCAGAGCGTACAGCCCCCCCAGCTGCAGCAGCTCTACCGTCACATGGAGCTGGAGCAGATGCATGTCCTTGACACCCCCATGGCACCGCCCCATGCCAGCCTCAGCCACCAGGTACGTGCTGCTGGCTGTCCTCCATCCCCCTGAGCTCCAGGCCTGTGGTGAGTGTAGGAGCTTCGCAGGAAGCTGACACAGGCTCTTACTCAACATGGCTTCCTGCCCCACAGAGCCAACGGTGGCCGGTGCCCCAACGGCTGTGCTGACCTCCTGATTGACCTTATGACCCCACACCCTTATCTCACTGAGGATGGACAGACCCCTATATGATCCTCTAACCCTCCAATCATCCTCCCCCACCTCACTCCTGGTTGGGGGCCCCAGGGACCTATGGACAACAGCCTCTATTTGCTGTCTCTTCATGTACTCAGTATCTGAGTCACTGAATGCTAACCTCTACTGGCCCCTCCCACTCTCCACTGACCTCCATTACTTGACCCTTCTCTGCCCCTACAGACCCTAAGCCCAAAGAGGACTTCTGGAGCTGCCAGTCCTCATCGACCTCCACTGTTCTTTCATTGGTTCAATGAAATTGAATTGAATTAAGCCCCAATCACTCCTGTACTAAACTCACTGCCCCCCAGCACTTCCCTTCTGCCCCCAGGGCCACTGCCAGGCCAGATGGTAATCCCTTTGTGTGGATGAGAACATGCTACGAATCAGAGGCCCAACTGGGAAGGGTGGTGGGCTCAATGCTAGCAACCCCTCGCCCCATGACCTGTACCCTTGTGTGGTAGCCCTGACTGGCCACTAGTTTTCCCCAGCCGTCTACTCAAGTCTTCCTGCCCTTGCTGACTGCTCCCCAGTATTCCATTCCCAAGCATTCCCTCTTCTGTCACTCAGCTGACCCTACAGTAGTCCTGAACTATCCCTTACTGACCTCAACTCTTCCTTCCCTTGCAGGTTCCCTACATGCCCCGCATGTGCTTTTCTTACCCATCCCTGTCCCCAGCCCACCAACAGAGCTCAGATGAGGAGGAGGGCGAGCGGCAGAGCCCCCCATTAGAGGTGTCTGATGGGGAGGCTGATGGCCTGGAACCTGGGCCAGGTCTCCTTCACGGGGAGACAGGTAAGGTCCATGTCCTGACCCAACTGATCCTGGCTATATTTATAGCCCTTTTCATATCCCTTGCCAAGACTGACTGGTCCAGCAGCCATGACTCAGAGCTGTGTGTGTGTGTGTGTGTGTGTGTGTGTGTGTGTGTGTGTGTGTATGTTCATGGGAGCTTCTGTGACATCTCTACCTGCACATGTGTGTATTGAGCCTGTGTGTATTGTGAGTGTATCAAGTATCTCTTCAGAAAGTATGTGATGGTATGTGTGTGTATCAGTGTTGGATATGTGAGTGTGTGAGTGTGTGAATGAAAGGGTTGTAAGTATGATTGTGTATGGGAACTGTGAGTGTATGTGTAGGCCTGTGAGTGCGTGAGGGCCTGTGAGCATGTGTGGTGAGTGTGTGAGGGCCTGTACTCGTGTGTGGTGTGAGAGGACAGGCCTGTGGATGTATGCATAGATATCAGTGTGTATCCATGTGTGGCAAGGAGGTGTGAGGAATGTGTGTACACGGAGGGGCATGCACACAGGAGGAGTGCGCAGGTGTGCACACCCCCTTCCGGGTGGCCTGGGGTGCTGTGTGCACACCCCCTTCCATGGCCTGCAGTGCTGCCGGGAGGTCCCTGGAGAGGCCTCGCCCCCACCCCATGCCCCTCTTCCACAGGCAGCAAGAAGAAGATCCGACTGTACCAGTTCCTGCTGGACCTGCTACGCAGCGGCGACATGAAGGACAGCATCTGGTGGGTGGACAAGGACAAGGGCACCTTCCAGTTCTCGTCCAAGCACAAGGAGGCGCTGGCGCACCGCTGGGGCATCCAGAAGGGCAACCGCAAGAAGATGACCTACCAGAAGATGGCGCGCGCACTGCGCAACTACGGCAAGACTGGCGAAGTGAAGAAGGTCAAGAAGAAGCTCACCTACCAGTTCAGCGGCGAGGTGCTAGGCCGCGGGGGCCTGGCCGAGCGGCGCCACCCGCCCCACTGAGCCCGAGCCCGCCAGGCCCGCCGAGCCCTCCTGGCCCCCGGCCCCGCCGGCCACAGCATTAACCCCTCGCCCGGCCCGGACACAGGGAGGACGTTCCCGGGGCCGAGGCAGGACTGGGGGCCCCGGCCTCGCCCTCCCCGTCCCGCCCCCGTCCCGCCCTGCTTCGCTCCCACCAGGACTCTAGCCGGGTCGGAAGGCCACCTGGGCCTCGGACCCCACCCGAGGGTCGGCCTGGCTTCGTGGCCACGGTGCTACCTTGGGAGTCTGGGTCCGGCACATCTTTGTATATTGGATGCTCTTTCTAAGGCTCCCCCTCTCCCACCTGCCACCGTCCATTAGCCTCCCAAAGATCAAGTAAAATTATTCTTAGCTACTCCAATCCCGGCGTAGTCTCTTTCAGGTTTCCTGCACATTGGCCACCTATGTGCAGTGATGTCTTTTTTCCCCTCATCTGTCCGGCGGGCGTCTATCCAATACTGGACCCTGGGGACTGGGGACAATGGACACACTGTGGATGTTTCCGGTGGAAACAAGTCCTCTCTTGTTACTAGGAGTGGGGATCATATTCGGCCTTCTGCACCAGGGACTGTTAAGTCTCACCAAAGCTTGAACTCTTGATCCTCCAAATTAGATATAATCCAGTTGACATGAGTCTAATACCTCCCCATTTTATAGAATGGGAAACTGAGGCTCATAGGGATGAAATAATTTGTTCAAAGTCACACAGATGGGGAGTGGCTAGGCTAGGTTCACTCCAGGTCTGCCCACCAAGTCAGTTGGGACTCTTCACTTATTTGACTTATTCAACAAAAGTTCCAAGTTTGGTCACCACAGAGTGTTTCTAACAGATACGGGGCAGACAGGGCCTTGAACACTGAGTCCCCTGTGCTCAGTCTTTGCTTCTTAGCATTTTGCTCCTGGGGGCAGCAGACAAGTTCTGGTAAGCAAGGACTCCTGTAAACATCTTGCTTCAGACAGTAACAAGAAGTAGACAGCCTGGGAGTGAGGAGACTTCCTGGAGCAGATCCTAGAGATGTTATTGTAAGGACAAAGACCCCTGTACACCTCCTAGACCTTAGGGTTCCTCATAGCCCAACCATGATGCTCCCTAGCCAGGCTGCAGAGCCTTGGGAGAAGGCTGTGCCTGGAGGGAGCTCTGCAAAGTACCAGCTTAAAATATTTTTATTACGTTTATTACGTTTTAATTTTTAAATTTTGTATGTGTGCGTTTTTTTTTTTAGTCTTTTTGAGATAAGATCTCTCTGTAGCCCCAGCTGGCCTGGAACTTGCTATGTAGATCAGACTGGACTTGAACTCACAGAGATCCAGCTGCCTCTGCCTCCCAAGTGTTGGGATTAAAGGCATGCACCACCACGCCTGGCATTTGTATGTATCTTTATGTACATATGGGTGCACACACATAGTACAGCCTGCATGTGAAGGTCAAAGATCAACTTACAGGATTTGGTACTTTCCACACACTGTGGGTCCCAGGATTGAACTCATCAGGCTTGGCCCAAGATGCATTTAATCACCGAGCCATCTTGCTGACCTGTAAGTGCCACTTCTTTTAAAAAACTGAGCAGTTGCCAGGCATTTGAGTATGAGCTTTTTGCCTGCATGTTTGTAAGTGCACCACATGGGACCAGAAGAGGGTATGGAATCCCCTGGAACTGGAGTTAGGGATGGTTGTTAGCAGCCATATTGGTGCTAGGACCCAAAGCAGATCATCTGTAAGAGCAGTCAGTGCTCTTAACTGCTGAGCTATCTCTCCAGTCCCAAGCAATTAGGAGGTTGAGGAAAGAAGATTGAAACCACAAGTTTGAGACTAACCTGGGTTACTAGTAATAGCATCACACACACACACACACACACACACACACACACACACACACCCTCAGTAGCAGGTGATGTGGCTTAAAAGTAATTGCAAGTGACTGGGTGTGGTGGCGCACGCCTGTAGTCCCAGCACTTGGGAGGCAGAGGCGGATCTCTGAGTTCAAGGCCAGCCTGGTCTACATAGTGAGTTCTAGGACAGCTGGGATTACAGGGGGCCCCTGTTTCAAAAAGACCAAAAAAAAAAAAAAAAAGTAATTGCAAGCGGAAGGAAATCATGGCTGGTAAGTTTTTCTCATCTGGAAAATTCATATGGACTGCCCCCCCTTCTGAAGACAGGAGATAAACAATCTTTCCTGATATTAGTTTTGCTTGAGGCAGACCCCCAGTAATTTGTTTCTTTCTGTAGCAACTGATAGCCCCAATGAAGGGTTCAGTCACAGGGGCAAGAGGTTGCAGGGGAATACTGGGCAGGGTACAAGGGGATTCAGAACATTCTGGCATTAATCTTTCATTAGCCCTTGTGACCTTGGCAAGAGCTAGCTCTGCTTCTGTCTTCCACTTTGGGGTATGTTTAGAGCCTCATCCTCATGCCCTCACCTTCAGGCTCACTCATGGAGTACTTCCCCTGTGGCAATACCAGCTCCCAGTATTGTCTCTTTCCAACCTGACTCTAGACTAAGCCTACCTAGGATTCCACAGCTGGAGGTTAGTCTTGGCCTCTTGTGGTTTGATAATGTGGGTCAAGGCTCTGTAAGGTTAAAGAACAGCAATGCTCAGGTCTGAGCAGCCTACCCTCAGGACACATGCCCTTGATCATTTAGCTGTAGGGTCACAGGCCCAGCACACTTCCATGATGCAGTTTACTGATGGATGGATACACAGGCAAGGCTTGGGCTAACCCTGAGGACTGCAGAGGATTGGAGAAGCCATCCAGTTGTGCTGGGGGACATGGGAAGGGAAAGGAGCAAGCCAGGGGACAATGTGTCCCTATCTTCTCATGGAGATACCTCAGCTGCGTGGAATTTGTCTATATTTAGCAGGTGACTGACAGGAGGCAGATAAGTAGAGCTGGGGAGGGGGTGGTCCTCATATATAGTGGGAACACAGGACCCCGCTTAGTTCTTCCTTGGGTGGCCTTGCCTGCTTGGTGTCTGGTGTGACTGTCTCAAGATGCCTGAGCCAGGGAAGAAGCCAGGTAACTCCGTGACTGTGGTTGGGGCTGAATGTTGGGCAATGGGTGTGCACAGCTGGGGGATAGTGGTAGGAGCTGGTGAAGATGAGGCCTCTGTATACCTGGACGGAAGAAGACAGTCCTCTTTGGTCTTTCTGTAATTCTCAGCTTCTTTTCCCATCCCTCTGATGAGCTTGAGAGTGAACCGAGTGTTAGGGGCACTGAGAGCTGACTTAGCTAAGGTAGGAAGCACTCAGGGCCAACGCTCCATTCTCAGAACATAAGGAATCATTTTGCCCATTGCTTCTGCAGTCAGGGTCCCTGCTACAGGGAACCCAAGTTTAGGCTGCAGTAGACCCAGCTCACTGAGTCCCTGGGCACCTCCTGGCCTCTCTGAGATTGGCTTTGCATCTGTATAGGAGGGGTTGGGTAGATACCTACTTCATGAGCCTGAATCCCTGGGGTGCTCACACCATGCCTGACTCTAGCTGTGGGGGACTCGGACACAGCCCCTCTTCTATGGAAGAGAACAGGCCAAGGGCAGAGAAAACCAGTGCCCGGGGCCTGGACCTAGCCTGTGCCCTTGCCAAGGTCATTCAGGGCAGGGATCCAGACCCCAGCCCTTTGCCACTCCCAGGCCAGCGTTATCTCAGTTGCTCATTCTTAGTCTGAGGCCCTTAGAGGACAAATTTAGCTACCTTCTAAGTAGGCAGATTGTCCACCCCCTGCCAAGGGCCTTATGGTCGGGGAGGGGGCTGGGTTTTGGGAACAGCCCTGCTTGGTGAATAGGACCACAGTTCTGGCTGTCCACCTGTGTGACCTTCTGTCCCTTAGCCTCTCTGGGCCTCAGTGTCCTCATCTGAGAAATGAACATAATTGCACATACCTCACAGAGCTGTTGGAATATTAAGTGAGGAGATGTGGAATATACAAGGCAGCAGGGATGGGGTGCTTGAGGATCCTGGCCCCTGCAATCTCCATCTGGTCCTTCAGTGTCAGCCTTCAGCAAGAAGCCACAGTCGGTGGAAGTGAGCATGGGCGGTGCTGCTGTGTTTGAGGCTGAGACTGAGCGGGCAGGTGTGAAGGTGCGCTGGCAGCGGGAAGGCAGTGACATCAGCGCCAGTGACAAGTACAGCTTGGCAGCAGAGGGCAAGCTGCATATGCTGACAGTGCAGGATGTGGCTCCTGTGGATCAGGGCTCCTATGCAGTCATCGCAGGCTCCTCCAAGGTCAAGTTTGACCTCAAGGTGACAGAGGCAGGTAAGAGCTTGGTTGGCTTTCTCTGAGGCTTGAGCTTCAGCTGCAGCCCAGAATAAGTACTGGACTCCGGATGCGGGTCCTTTGCCCTGGTGGTGCTGTTATCCAGAAATACCTTGTCTCATGTTCTGTGTTAAGACCTCTCTAAGCATTAGCTGTACCTGCAGCCTTCTACATTGTGGAAGTGGGAAAACATAAGAGATGAACTAGGCTCAGTACTCTCCTGCTGCAGACCCAGGGTGATGGCCACACCTCGATAGAGACTTGGCCAGCTGTGTGTGCTGGCAGGGGAAGGCTGAGGAGCAATGGGACTGGACCAAGGCCAGAGCTTGGGGAAGATAGCAGATGGGCCTCAGAGCCGTTCGGGGCAGACATCAGGACATGGGGACATAGGGACCGTGAGGGTGAGAAGAGGAAATGCAGGCTGGCTCTCCCCTTCAGGGTTAGCTACCGCTTCACAGGGCCCAGTGACTAAAAGAGGTTGGGATACTGTTATCCAAGTCAGATGTCTCCTAGGCAGTGTAGGACTTGGCCTAATGTCTAGGAGAGAGGGTGGGGAGATAGCTGGTTAGAAACTATACCATGACCCCACCTCAGTCCCTCCAGAGAAGGCAGAGAAAGTGCCAGCTCCTGCTCACATCCCTGCTGAGGCCCCAGGGCTCCCAGAAACCCCCGGAGAAGCACCTGCTCCAGTGACTGAGTTGGAAGGAAGCATTCTGAGTCCCGAAGGTGAAGGGGCAGGCCGTGAGGGACAGACCAACAGGAGGGAGTGTGTCAGGGCAGGTCTCAAAGGCTTTCTCTCATAGGGTCAAGCTCAATAACTCCAAATGACTTAGCCCCAGGGAGGCAGAAAGCCCCTGATGACCCCATAGGCCTCTTCCTGATGCGGCCACAGGATGGCGAGGTGTCTGTGGGTAAGTGGGAACTGCTCTGCTCAGGGGTGGTGTGGGAAGGGAGGCAGCAGAGCACCCCAAACTGATTGTCACCTCTCTACTCACAGGTGGCAGCGTTACCTTCTCAGCCCGAGTGGCTGGGGCTAGCCTCCTGAAACCACCTGTGGTCAAGTGGTTCAAGGGCAAGTGGGTAGACCTGAGCAGCAAGGTGGGCCAGCACCTCCAGCTGCATGACAGCTATGACCGAGCCAGCAAGGTGGGCATCATGGAGACACCTGGCTGGACAGGGGACATGGAGAGTTGTGGTAGACAGGGAACAGAAAGGCTAGAAAGATTAGGAGGCAGGGCAATGGCTAAAACGTTCAGCTGTGCAGGCTGTATGAACACTGCACAAAACAGTCTCCTCTTAAGTGGATGCCTTGAGCCATCTGCTTGGAATTTTATCATGGTCATGTGCCAGCAGGTGGCAGTCATGAGTCTTGAGAGGCGGATCCTTTTTGTAATTTATACAAAAGCCTGTTTGTCTCAACTAAACTCAGAGGTGAGAAGGTAGGTGGGTGTTTTCCTTTCCCACTTCTCTTTAGGAGTGAAGGGCCTCTCCTGCCCTGGACTCCCCTGACATCCTGCCCACAGGTCTACCTGTTTGAGCTGCACATCACAGATGCCCAGGCCACTTCTGCTGGGGGTTACCGCTGTGAGGTGTCGACCAAGGACAAATTTGACAGCTGCAACTTCAACCTCACAGTCCATGGTGAGGGAGGCCCCGGTGTCTGATCTGTTCTTATGGTCTTCATGGGTCTTAGTCCTGTGGATCTGCCTCTGTCTTCCTAAAGAGGGTGACTAGCCATAGCCAGACCTCAGTGCTGATTGACCGTGTTCCCAGCGCTGCTCACACAGGGTGTGAAAGAAATCCAGGCTTCCAGGGTGGCAGTAGGGGGCTTGGGACCAAGTCAAGATCTCATCTAGGGTGGCACTCTGCTTTAGTTGTGTGTCCCTGCCTTTTGATACAGGGCCTGTCACAGTCTGAATGGGAACTTGGAAGTAGGTGGGAGGCTGGCCACTGTAGGGGTTGGAGATGATAAACTGTCTCACCTCCCTGGATCTTGACCCTAGGAAAGGTTGAAAGGATGGAGTCCTGGGCTTGGTCTAAAGTCCCTCATCACTTCATTCTGTTTATACACAGAGGCCATTGGCCCTGGAGACCTGGACCTCCGATCAGCTTTCCGCCGCATGTGAGTCTCTCAATCTGTATGTGTGTGTATGTCTCTGTCTCTCTGTCTCTGTCTGTCTCTGTCTCTTTCTTCAGGGTTTGGGCGAAGCCAGTGCTAGAGGTTAAAGGCCCTTGAAGTCTTAGCTAGGGACATATGGGGATCAGGGCTAAGGTCTGTAAGGAACAAGGGAGAACAAGCTCCTGGGACAGGTGAGAACACTGTTTTACCCCCACAGGAGCCTGGCTGGAGCAGGTCGGCGAACCAGGTACCATTCCCCTGTTCTCTCCTTGCCCTGTACCTGAACCCTAGGGGGACAGGTGGGAGCCCAGTCTGGCCATGTCCCTTCTTCCCCCATTCTACCCCACCCCCTAAGCTCCTTCCAGCCCCTGTAGTATCACCTCATGGAGTCCCTCCTCCCTCTCCACAGTGACAGCCACGAGGATGCTGGGACTCTGGACTTCAGCTCCCTGCTGAAGAAGAGGTGAGTCTTTGGATCACATCTTCCAGGGCAGGAGGTGAGACCTGGCATGAGGTTTCCCAGCTGTGTGGCCTTGAACAAGTTGCTGGACCTCTCTGAACTGGTTCCCTTGTCTGTCAAGTGGGATGACCCCAGTGTGGGAAAGAGTTATGTCCTGACAACATCCTCAGTGACCCCTACCACCCTCCATATTGGAATCTACAGTAGCTCATTTCAGTAGACTCTAAGGACCCCAAAGAAATTAGAAGAGGGTCCCCAAAGCACGCCCAGCTCAGCCCTCCTGATTTAAGTTTTCTCTGTTCTCTTTCCTTCTCACCCATCATGGCTGCTGCTCCTGCCCAGAGAGTAAGGAATGGGGATGCAGGGCTCTGGGGCATTGACTTTTGGGATGTGCACCTCTCCCTGCCAGGGTTTGGAAGGACTCACACTCACTAGGGTGACACTTCTAAGCTGTGGGATAGAGAGGAATGAGAGTCCTGGCCTGAAAAGTCTGTGCACAAGTACAGGGAGGAGGGAGGAGTGAAGCCCTAAGAGGGCTCCCAAACTTGATGGGGAAGTGCCCAGACCTCTAATGTGTCTCCTGTCCTCTCTGCCGTACCTGGAGCAGCAGTTTCCGGAGGTGAGTGCCCAAGAAGCCCGGCACCCCCCTTACCCACTCCTTCAGCCCAGAGGCCTTCTCTAGCTCCAGCCCCCAAGACTGCAGACTGGGCAGGGAGGGAAGGGTAGAGGGCAGAGGTAGCCCCTCATCCAGTGCCCCGGGAAGCCCCCTCCTCCATCCCCAGAGGGAGCAGGAGAGACTGCCTTGATCTTCCCGTGGACTGTGGGGCACAGGGACTCAAAGCTGGAGGCACCGGCTGAGGAGGACGTGTGGGAGATCCTGAGACAGGCGCCCCCGTCAGAATATGAGCGCATTGCCTTCCAGCATGGAGTCACCGACCTGCGTGGCATGCTAAAGAGGCTCAAGGGTATAAAGCATGAAGAGAAGAAGAGCACAGGTTAGCTCTTCACACATGGGAGAGAAGAGGGCTCTGGCTAGCTCCCAACAAAGGCCCAAGTGTTGATTTACAAATTGTTGAGGCAGAGGGTACCATACAAAGGGCTGAAGGGAACTGAGGAAGAACAGATGGGCAGAGAGAGCCCCTGGGGGCAGGAACAAGGAATGATACAGTAGTAAAAGGAATGAATTACTAATTAAGCCAGGAATAAAATGTACATAATTGCCTAATTTACTTCACCCAATAGCACCTTTACATAGGGAGTATTACCATTTTAGTTTGACAGGCAAGGAAACTGAGGCACAGAGAGTTAAGGACCAAAGCCCAAGAGCACTGGGCATGTCTCTACCTCTCCACAGCTGGCTCCCAGCCTGAGTATTTGAGGGCTCCAGTACTTCAGCAGCAGCCCTGCAAGAGAAGGCCTTGTCATGCCATGGGCTCGGGCTGCTGACCCAACCATACCAGAAACCATCAGGGCTGGTGGCCCTAGGCGCGTCATTGTGTCACCCCCTCACCCCCACCAGCCCTGTTCTCCTCCTGAGACCCATGAAAATGACCTCGAGTGCTGGTAGGAGTGCTAGAATGATGCTTTCCTTTAATACAAGGAAGAGAAAGGACATATGCTGCATTCCCAGTTCTCCTGTCAAGCATCTGTCTTTCTGGAAGCGTCTAACCCTGTCTAAGAGCTGAGCAGGTAGAAAGAACCCCAAGGAAGGAAGACAGGACAAAGATAGAAACAGGAAGGTAGACAGACACAAAACAGTGATGAGAAGACAGGGTCACCCCAGATGCCCAGAGGGTATGGCAGGGATATGCACACAGTGGGGCTGGTGGAAGATGTCGGCCCTTGCTGCTATGGCGGGGCTTGGAGAGCAGGGTGTGGGCATTGGAGTGCCTGGGGACTAAGAAATCGGGGGTCAGCCTTTCAGAAGAAACTGGAGCCGGCCTACCAGGTGAACAAGGGCCACAAGATCCGGCTTACTGTGGAGCTAGCTGACCCAGATGCTGAAGTCAAGTGGCTCAAGAATGGTCAGGAGATCCAGATGAGTGGCAGGTGTGGTGTGGGTAGGAGGGGTTCTGGGAGGTGGGGGTAGGGAGCCCCCTGGGTCTGGCTCCTGGTCTCCATCTGTTTTTCCCCACTTTACTCCCTGCCCCCAGGGTCTACTTCCTATCTTTTGACTTGTTTTTATTTTAAGTGTATGAGTGTTTTGCCTGAATGTATATAAGTGTACCACATACATTCAGTCCTCTAGGAAGCCAGAAGAGGGTGTTATAGATGGTTGTTAGCCACCAAATGGGTGCTGGGAACTGAACCTGGGTCCTCTGCAAGAGCAGTCAGTGCTCTTCACCACTGAGCCACTTCTCCAGCTCCCTAATTCCTCATCTTTTGACCCTGCCTACCTCTCTCTTCTTTTCTCTCCATCTCTCTGACTCGGTCTCATTTCCTTCTGTGCGGAACACTCCAATGGCCCCTTCCATTCCATAGCAAGTAAGTCTCCTCCTGGACAGCTTGAGTCAGGCATGGGGATTGTGAAGGGCACCAGGCCCAGGAGGGGCACCCTGGCCCTCCTGACACTCCTCTATACTCTGCCCAGATACATCTTTGAGTCCATTGGTGCCAAGCGCACATTGACCATCAGCCAGTGCTCACTGGCCGACGATGCAGCCTATCAGTGCGTAGTGGGGGATGAGAAATGCAGCACGGAGCTCTTTGTCAAAGGTGGGCCAGGGACCTGGGACCCTGGGAGGGAAAGAGACAGTCACAGAAGCCAGCCCCTCATGCTGTCCCTGCCTGGACAGAGCCCCCTGTGCTGATCACTCGGCCACTGGAGGACCAACTGGTGATGGTGGGACAGCGTGTGGAGTTTGAGTGTGAGGTGTCAGAGGAGGGGGCCCAAGTCAAATGGTGAGTGCCAGGGGTATGGGAGTGTGACAAGGCTGGAGGATGAGGACATTGTTCAGAGGAGGACATAGTCTCTGTTGCCCACTTGTTTGGCCAGGCTGAAGGACGGGGTAGAACTGACTCGAGAGGAGACCTTTAAATACCGGTTCAAAAAGGATGGACAGAAACACCACCTGATCATCAACGAGGCCACACTGGAGGATGCAGGGCATTACGCAGTGCGCACCAGTGGGGGCCAGGCACTGGCTGAACTCATTGTTCAGGGTGAGGGCTCCTAGCCCAACACTGGCTGGCCATCTGTTGGGAACAGGTCCTGGAGCTAGTCTTTAATACCCCAAGCCTCCCCTTTCCTATCTGTAAAATGGGAGTGCTGAAGTGAGCACTCCAGAGGGTGTTGGGAGGATCATATGGGCCTGGTCAGTATCAACTCTAGAAGTTCCTTGTGTCACTATCTCAGGCACATACACATGTCATGAGATTGTGCACACCTACCTTCACTCAACAGCCCACCTGTCCCTATAATGATCCACACCCCTCTGGAGCTCACAGACTCTGCCCTCCTCCCCCAGAGAAGAAGCTGGAAGTATACCAAAACATCGCCGACCTGGCGGTGGGTGCCAAGGACCAGGCCGTGTTCAAGTGTGAGGTCTCAGATGAAAACGTGCGTGGAGTGTGGCTGAAGAACGGGAAGGAACTGGTGCCTGACAGCCGCATAAAGGTGTCCCATATTGGACGGTGAGTGTGCAGGGAAGTCAGAGACAGAGGTGGGGAGAAAGAGACAGGCTGAGGAAAGGGGTCAAACTGTAATGGAAAGAGAGAAATAGACACAGGAAGACACGGGACAGAGGAACAGCCATGGGAGAGACTCATAGAAGGAGAGTTATCCCAAAAGGACAGAGGCACCAGGGCAAAGAAGTGTGGGATATACACAGGGTCAGGTGGCCACCCCTCCCCCAGCAGTGACCAGGCCAGGCAGGAGGCCACTGAGGAGGTGGCTCTGGCTCATCCCAGAGCTTCTGGGGGCCGTGCTGGGCTCGAGTTCACAGAGATTACTCAGATCAGCCCTCGTCTGTCTCCAAGGGCCCAGCCATAGGGATGCCCCTGTGCAGACATCACTTCTGCACTGCTGACCTCAGAAAACACGTGAGGGAGCTGGAAATTTTGAAACTAGAGAAAGAAGCCACTTTTACAAAGTCCAGAGCACCAAGGAGCTAGGATGAGGCACTGTCCCCTGAAACCCTGCTTGGAGATGTCTGATGAGGCCCAGGCTGTGTGACCCAGTGAGGTCCACTCAGCCACCAGTGCCGTCCACTCAGCCACCAGTGCCCTGCAGGGTCCACAAACTGACCATTGACGACGTCACACCTGCTGATGAGGCTGACTACAGCTTTGTGCCTGAAGGCTTTGCCTGCAATCTGTCTGCCAAGCTCCACTTCATGGGTGAGCTGGCACGGAGTGTGTATGTGTTTGGGGACAGAGCTAGTAGCCCCCATGGCTGGGCCCTTCCTTTGCCTCAGAGCCACTTGCTCTTCCTTCTCTTGCAGAGGTCAAGATTGACTTCGTGCCCAGGCAGGGTGAGTCTTGGGGCCCCTTTGTACCCCTTTGTACCACTTCAGCACTGTTCCTTCCCCACACCCCACACTGGCCCTAACTCCCTTCCATTCCAGACACAGGGAAGGCAAGGATCTGGGAGTAGGGCCACTTACAAGCTTGGGTAATTAGAAATGGCCTCTATTTCTCTGCATCTGTGTGTGTGTGTGTGTGTGTGTGTGTGTGTGTGTGTGTGTGTGTGTGGTGTTTGTATGTTCCTGTCTGTGGTGTGGCTGAACATGTGTGTGAATGCAAGTGTGTGCAGATGTGTATGAAGGCCATCGTCAACCTGGGTGTTATTCCTCAGGCACCATCCACCCTATAGGTCTCTCACTGGGACCTGGGGCTCACTGATTAGATGAGCCTGGCTAGCCAGTGAGCCCCAGAGATCCACCTGTCTCTACCTTTCCAGTGCATGCCCAGCTTTTTTTATGTGGGTTGTGGAGATCAAACTCAGATCCTCCTGCACAGTAAGCACTTTGCCAACTGAACCATCTCTGGCCTCAATTTCTTCATCTCTAAAATGAGAGCAGGTAGTGTGTCCTCCACAGGGTGGTTAGGATGAGATGCGGCGTGGGTGGTAGCAGATGGTGTATTCCTTTAGAAGTACCTTTCCTGAGTTTATATTAAGATTTAATCACACATTTCAGAGTTCCAACTTTAGGAGAGTAGTTCAGGCTAGGGTCAGATCTCTAGCTCAGTGCTTTTCAAACATTACTAACCTTTGTAACAAAGAATTCATGGGGGAATAAGTTTGGAAACACTGAGCACTAATCACCTGTGGACTCAGAAGGTGAGTCAGCATGTTGAAGGCCTTGAAAAATCCTGTGGTAAAAAATGTCCTAGCTGGGTGTAGTGGCACAGGCCTTTAGTCCCAGCACTTGGGAAGCAGAGGCAGGCAGATCTCTGTGAGTTCAAGGCCAGTCTACATAGTGAATTCCAGCCAGGTGGGGCTACAGGGAGACCCTGTCTCAAAAACAAACAAAACAAAAACAAGCAAACAAAACACTCAACAACAACCACCAAAAAAAACAAAACAAAACAAAACCAAAAGCAACAACAACAAAAAAGAATGCCCTGGACCTATTTAACCCAAGCTTTCTTGATTTGTATGTTCATTTTTCCTTCTGGCAGGATATCTGGTATTTCCCCAGGGTGGGAATGTGATGCAGGGTAACCAGGATGTTGGAAACTTCTCAAAGAACTTCTTGGGGTTGATGGACAGTTCCAGAACTTGTTTGGGTTGGTAGTTACACAGGTGTATACATTTGTTAAGATTCTTAAGACTGGGGTGGGGGTAGGGTTAGAATGCTTAGCAAGGAAAAGGCTCTTGCTGCACAAGCCCAGAGACCTGAGTTCAATCCCTAGAACCCATGTAAAAGAGAATTTCACTAAGTTGTCTTCTGACTGCCACATGTATTCTGTAGCATGTTCCCCCCTCCATCACACACACATACACACACACACATACACACACACACACACACACACACACACACACACACACACACAAATTAAGACAGTTAGGCCTTGGGGCTAGAGAGATGACTTGGTTAAGAGCACTGACTGCTTTTGCTATTCCCAGCACCCACTTGGCAGATAACAACTGTCTGTAACTCCAGTTCTCAGACATTGCACAACATGGGCATTGTACTACATATATGCAGGCAATATTCTCATACACATAAAATAAAAATGATAAAATATTTTTTAAAAACACTGTCAGGGCCAGGTATAGTGGCACACACCTTTAATCCTAGCACTCGGGAAGCAGAGGCAGGTGGATCTCCTCTATGGAGGCCAGCCCGGTCTCCATAGACAGTGCAGGCCAGCTGTGGTTATATGGAGACCCTGTCTCAAAAAGACCAAAAAAAAGACTTTCAGGCCTAATCCTCGAGCACAGAAGGCTGAGGCAATTTGAGGCTAATCTCGGCAGCATAGTGAGACCCTGTATCGCTTAAGACTATATTCAAATCTGTGCTTTTTACTATATATAATTTATACTTCAATGAAACTGTTAACAAACCAACAATTAGGGGCATGAGTCTCCAGCACTCCCAAGTGACCTGTGTGCCTCTGGTTGCCCATTTGTGAGCCTGGGCTCCTCCCTTTTCTCTGATATATACCCCCTATGCAGAACCTCCCAAGATCCACCTGGACTGCCCAGGCTGCACACCAGACACCATTGTGGTTGTGGCTGGGAACAAGTTACGCCTGGATGTCCCTATTTCTGGTGACCCTGCTCCCACTGTGGTCTGGCACAAGACCATCACACAGGTACTGTGGTTCCCTCCTCAGTTTCCCCACCTGTAAGATGGGTATGTAGAACCCGAGATGAATGCTAGGCCCTGATACGGGGGAGGCAGGTGGGGATGGACAGAAAGCTGATTCAGTCCCTTTACCCTCTACCTCTCACCTACTGTCTTCCCAGGGGAAGAAGTCTCCAGCTAGGCCAGCCCCAGATGCCCCAAAAGGGGCAGGTGCCAGTGACGAGTGGGTGTTTGATAAGAAGGTAAGATTGGAATCAGGACGTGGCTTACTGTGCTCAGTCATTTCTACACATGTGGCATCCACCTAAGGAAAGACTCGATGGGCCCTCATATCCCAGGCAGCTACACTGTGGGGAGTAAGAAGCCATTGTAACTGGGATTCCTTCTTCCATTCCTTTTTCCATTTTCCTTTTTCATGAATAATTGTTCCTTATTCTTGAAAACTTAATATGTACGTGAAATAGGATTGTATCTACCTGCTATTTCCCTCTCCAACTCCCCATATCCTCTCCAACAGATCCCCCTCTCAAACTTCACTTCTTCTTCTTTTTTTTTTTTGCTAACTCATGAAGTCCATATTTGCATGGGTGTGGGGCCATCCACTGGTACATGAAAAACCTATCCCACACCCTCAAAAAAGGGGATTCTCCCTCCCCCAGCAGTTCTCACCTGCAAGAGCTCCTCAGTAAGGGGTGGGGCCTGGACAGCACCTCCCTAATTTATGGAATTTTGGCTGGCTTTATCTTGTGCAGGTAACCACAGCTGCTATGAGTTCATTAGTACAACAGCCATGCCCTGTTCAGAAGACAGCATTCCACGGCACCCTCCCCATTCTCTGGCTCTTACTTTTTTTTTCTTTTTTTGATTTTTTTGAGACAGAGTCTCTCTGTAGCCCCAGCTGTCCTGGAACTCACTATGTAGACCAGGCTGGCCTTGAACTCACAGAGATCCACCTGCCTCTGCCTCCCGAGTGCTGGGATTAAAGGCATGTGCCACCATGCCTGGCTCTTAAAAGGTTTTTTATTTTTTAATTTATTTATATGTATTAGTGTTTTGCCTATATGTATGGAAGTGCACCAGTGTGTGCAATGCCTTTTCAGGTGGTTGTTATTTGCTCTGTGAGTACTGGGAACCAAACCCAGGTCTTCTGCAAGAGCAACTAGTATTCTTCACCAGTGAGCCATGTGTGCAGCTCCAGAACACAATCTCTTATTGTCAGAACACAGTTTTGCCTGTTATACATCTCTGCATTGACTGCTACAAAATGAAGCTTATTTGACCAAGGTTGAGATAATCCCAGCTCTATGGATATAAACAAATATTTAGAGGGCAATTTGACATGACCATTCAGCAAAATAACAATAGCAGTTTCTTCCCTGAGAGGTATGACCTCCCCTGCCATTAGCTTTTGACCAGGATTACAGTACCTGTAGAGCAGTCCTCAAATCCAATCGGAGTAGTTAGTTACCTCCTGATAGCAACAGTGGGCAGATCTTGCCTGGCAGGTGAGTATTGTGGCATGTAGGGCTCAGTGCTGGGTAAGACCATTCATGATTTTTGCCTTCCAGCACTTATGAAAGCTAGCCAGCAATAAGGAAGTTTCCTGGTCGGTTTGAGCTTGTGGGTCCCTTCCTCTTGAGCTGATCTTGACTGTGTGCTTTCTTCCAACTAGGGAGTGGGTTCCCTAGCACTCTGCAGCAAGTGCAGCTGTGTGAGGTGGCGCAGCTCTGCCTCTGCTCCTCTATGCCACTGCTGGCTCTTCTCAAGGCTGTACACCTGGGGTCTTGCTGGATCCTCACAATAACTTTGTAGGACTGTATTCTTCCCATTTGACAGGGAACCGAGACACACAGAAGTCAGGTGACTACCCAAGATTCCATGACAAAGCTAGATTGAAGTCTGAACCCCTTCCCTGTGTCCTGCCCATAGTGGGTGACACTGATGTTTTTTAACTGGCCACTTACAGGTGTGCAGTTTCCCCTCAGGCTGTGCCTCCTCCACCCCTTCCCACAGACCCTGCACTGATCTTCCCTCCCGTTGCAGGGCTGATGGCTACTGCATAGGCTTCAGGGGCCTCTTGACTATGACTTGGGCCTTGTTCCCAACTCTCCCTCTCCTTCAGCTGCTGTGTGAGACAGAGGGCCGGGTCCGTGTGGAGACCACCAAGGACCGTAGCATCTTCACAGTTGAGGGAGCAGAAAAAGAAGATGAGGGTGTCTACACTGTCACAGTAAAGAACCCTGTGGGCGAGGACCAGGTCAACCTCACAGTCAAGGTCATCGGTGGGTGAAGCCAGCTGGGGTCCAGACTAAGGAACACAGAGGGGCCATCCAGGGAGGGCCCATCCATTTACTCATTTAGTCACTCAATAAACCCCAAAGAAGCTCTGAAGCAGGCAACGGTAATGAATAGGACTTTTTTTTTTCCTGTCTGCAAGGAGCCCTGCTCTAAGGGGAGATGAATGCAGAAATGTCATTGTCTGTGACAATGAGCTGAACAAGTCTGAAGTACTCTGGGAGAAATGAGCACAGAGCAAGCCCCTGTGCATGAGGAGTAAAACCTTTACGATGCTGACATGATGGGTGGAGAAAGGCACACAGGAGACTGCAAAGGCGTGAAGAATGAATGAATGAATGAATGAATGAATGAATGAAACCATTCTGTAGTGGAGGGCTGGGGGAGGTGATGAATGTGGCAGACTGGAGCTGGGACATGGGGTTAGTATGAGCAATGGGGAGCCATAAGTGTTGAGATGGTGGGTGGCGGCATAGTCAGATTCTAAAGATTGCTTTGACTCTGGCAGTGGTGGGAGCAGCCCCTACTTGCTGGTTGCAGATAACGATGGGGAGGGGTGAGCAATATCACACACCCTGAGCTGGGGATGCCTGATGCAGTTTCTCTTCTCCTGTAGATGTGCCAGATGCCCCTGAGGCCCCAAAGATCAGCAACGTGGGTGAGGACTCCTGCACCGTGCTGTGGGAGCCGCCTGCCTATGACGGTGGGCAGCCTGTGCTAGGTGAGCAGGGCACAGGGATAGCCGAGTGCTGCGGGCTCCTGGGTGACTGGTTGCAGACCTGAACTCCCATCTCCTCTCTCCAGGCTACATCCTGGAACGCAAGAAGAAGAAAAGCTACAGGTGGATGAGGCTCAATTTTGATCTGCTGAGGGAGCTGACCCACGAGGCTAGGCGCATGATCGAGGGTGTGGCCTATGAGATGCGGGTCTATGCAGTCAATGCGGTGGGCATGTCCAGGCCCAGCCCTGCTTCCCAACCCTTTATGCCTATCGGTGAGTCTGCAGGACCCCCCCAGGACACCTCAGACCAAGGGGCCCAATGATAGAAAACGCTTTGCTTATAGGCAGCCACCGTACTAGGTCTTTTTTTTTTTTAAATATTTTATTATTTTTATGTGTACGAGTGTATTGCCTGCATGTAAGTAAGTGGCACCCTGTTGTGCAATGCTGAGGAAGTCAGAAGAGGGCTTCAGATTACCCTGGAACTGGAGTTAAGGACAGTTTGTAGCCGCCATGTGGGTGCTGGGATTTGAACCTGGGTCTTCTGCAAAAACAGTCAGTGTTCTTAACAGCTGAGCCATCTCTCCAGCCCCATACCAGGTCTTTCTAATGCAGTCAGGTATAACCTGCCTTATCCTACAGATGAAGAAACTGAGGCTGGGAGAAGTTAAGTGACTTGGATTATCACCCTGCTGGTAGAGTGGAAACTCTAACAAACCCTAGTTCTCTCTCTCTCTCTCTCTCTCTCTCTCTCTCTCTCTCTCTCTCTCTCGTCTTTGGGATGAGCTCTCATGTAGCCCAGGCTATCCTAAAACTCAGTCTAGCTGAGGATGACCTTGAATTCCTAATCTTCCTACCTCTACTTCCAAGGGCTGGGATTACAGGCCTTCACTAGCACACCACACCCTGCTCCTAGTTCATTTTATGAACCTCATTTTCTGCCTCTACACATAGAGATAATGACACTACTTCAGAGAGTTAGGATAAAATGAAGTCCTGTGGGCAAAGCAGCTGGCATATAGCAGGTGCTCAACATGCTAACTGTTCCCTGTCCCCCATGCCCTCAACCCAGGGTTTGTCCTTTATGGGATGGGGCCAAGATAATGGGTGCTGGAGGGGTCTAGGGTGGGTCTGTCTGTGGACAGAGGTGTGGTCTGCAAAGCCAGCTTCCTCATCCCAGCAGGCCACCTGTCATCATCTCTTCTTGAATTCTCAGTTCCTGATCTGTAGAATAGGCACTAGCTGGGCAGAGCAGATGCTGTGTTTGCAGTAGGGCAGGGTTCCTGGAAATGGCTTCACCAGGATGTGAGTGTCTAGGTGAGAAGGAGAGGCCCCAGCTTGAAGAGTCAGCAGGAATTCAAGGGGGGCCATGGAAGGACAGTCCAGGTTTCCTTTAAAAAACTATTTATGCCAGGCATGGTGTTGCACGCTCATTCAGGAGGCAGAGGCAGGCAGATCTCTGTGAGTTCAAGAGCAGCCTGGTCTGCATAGTGAGCTCCAAGCCAGCTGGGGCTACAGGAGACCCTGTTTCAAAGAGACCAAAAAAATTATTTATTTATTCAATTTTATGTTTTGCCTGTATGTATGTAATGCCTATGGAGGCCAGAAGAGGGCATTAGATCCCCTGGAACTGGAGTTATTTGCTGCCACGTGGGTGGCTAGGACTAAAACCTGGGTCCTCTGCAAGAGCATCCAGTATTCTTAACCACTGAGCCATCTCTCCAGACCCCCAGGCTTCCCTTTTTAATGGACTGATTTCTAGTTTGTACAGTTCACCTATTTACGTGGTGCCAGGAAAATCCATGTTTTATACTAGTTTGGGGGTTTTGGCTTTTATCTTACATGTCTAGCATTTCCTACACTAACAAGTGACTCCTTAAGCAACTTTGTGTTCTCTGCCTATCTTTTCCTCTTTTAAAATAAACTGTTGTTGATTTGTAAGTCAATCTAGAGAGATGTCTTTTTAAATTTTTTTGATTTATTTACTTTTGTGTGTATTTTGCCATCTCTCCAGTCCTAGAGACCTGTCTTTCAATGCAACCCAAATATTCTTGAAAGTGCTTGGAAGCCAGCAGCTGGGAAATTCTCCCTGAGAGGCCAACAGACAGCTGAGGTCCTGGTCATGAGTAGCCAGCTTCCCTGGCTGGTACAGGCTCACTCAGACCCTCTTTACCTCTTTCTGTCCAGGCCCCCCAGGTGAACCCACCCACCTGGCTGTGGAGGATGTGTCTGACACCACTGTCTCACTCAAGTGGCGGCCTCCAGAGCGTGTGGGTGCAGGAGGTCTGGATGGATACAGTGTGGAGTACTGCCAGGAGGGCTGTGAGTACCCCTACCTGCAAGTCAGCCCCAGTACCCTGCTAGACCCTGGACAGCCCTCAGGAGGTGGCAGCGAGATAGGGTGAGATTCTGACCCTCTCTGTGGTCTTCCCACCTGTATCTACCCCTAGGCTCTGAGTGGGTGGCTGCACTGCAGGGGCTGACAGAGCGTACTTCATTGCTTGTGAAAGACCTGCCCACTGGGGCCCGGCTGCTGTTCCGAGTGCAGGCACACAACGTGGCAGGTCCTGGAGCCCCTGTCACCACCAAGGAGCCTGTGACAGTGCAAGAGATCCTGCGTGAGTGACCTTGTGCCACAGATCTGCCACTGACCAGCCCCACTCCCAGTCAGGGAGACCTTTCAAGAGGCATGGACTACAGTGGAAAGAGGCAGGAAGGGTTATGCCCTTCATCCAGGTCTAGAGCTCTTGGTTTTCCCAGCAGTCCCTAGTTCTGGAGCAGGGAGAATAAACAGGTAGGTATTGTCCACAGCCTCAGGACCAGACGGTAAGGTCTCTGAGGGTCTGTCAGGGCCATCTGAGATGCACTTTCCATTCCTCTATTCCCTGCCTCAACAAAGTCATAAGGATCGGTTCTCCAGGTAGGAAAGAAGCAGTACAAAGAAACAGCATAGGATGGAGGGTCTGAAAGCCTAGAATTACACCCATGGTTCATGTTTTAGCAGATGTGTGACTTCAAACAAGTTGCTTACCCTCTCTGGTCCTGTAATGTGGTGAAGTTGGGCCTGGTGGCATATACCTGTGAACCCAGCACTTGGGAGGTAGAGAGAGGAAGATCAAGGGTTCATGGCCAGCTTGGGCTACATGAAACCCCATCTCAGAAAATAAAAGTAGTATACTGAGGCTCAGGAGGAAGTGAGAACTTTGGAGTTGCTGTGGGTTAGGAGGACCTGCCCAGGGTAGCTTTCTTAGCTATGGCTCTCTCTGGGTCCTGCCTCAAAACAGAATGGAGCTTTGGGTTCCTCAGGACTGGGGCCATGAAGGGCCCTTGTTTAATTGCCCCTTTGTACCTACAGAACGGCCACGGCTGCAACTGCCCAGGCACCTGCGCCAGACCATCCAGAAGAAGGTTGGGGAGCCCGTGAACCTCCTCATCCCTTTCCAGGTAGGTTAGTCCCCTTTCTCTGCCCCAAGGGGAGGAGCTACAATGGAAGGATCTTCTGGAGGACCCCAAGGCTTCAGTACCCATATACGGCTGGTGAAGTGCTGGTTGTTGGGGAGAGTCAGGCTCAGGTTTGCGTTGGTTGTTCCCCTCAGGGCAAACCCCGACCTCAAGTAACATGGACCAAAGAGGGGCAGCCACTGGCAGGTGAGGAAGTGAGCATCCGTAACAGCCCTACAGACACCATCCTGTTCATCCGAGCTGCCCGGCGCACCCACTCAGGAACATACCAGGTGACAGTGCGCATCGAGAACATGGAAGACAAGGCCACGCTGGTCCTGCAGATTGTAGGTATGTGGCCTTGGGGCCTCCCTCTCAGCCCACTGACTTCCTGTCCTTGAGCCTGGGGACCCAGAAGTCCTGCAGAAAGAAAGTGGCAGGCAGGCCACCTCCTGGTGGCTAGAGGGAGGGACTCCTAAAGGCTGGCATCCCACTGTTCCTGCTCAGGCTGCATCAGGATGTGCAGTGATCCAACCAGATCTGTCTCCTGCAGACAAGCCAAGCCCTCCCCAGGATATCCGGGTTACTGAGACCTGGGGTTTCAATGTGGCTCTGGAGTGGAAGCCACCCCAAGATGATGGCAATACAGAGATCTGGGGTTACACTGTACAGAAAGCTGACAAGAAGACCATGGTGAGTCTGGGGTCTTGGGCCCCGATATGCCTTCCTTAGGTCCAGTAGGTCTTCCCTGTCCTTACCATTGACCCTCAACCTACTCATCTTGTTTCTGCTACAGTAGGGGTGGAGGCACAAGAGAAGCCCCAGAGGTCTCTGAGATGCCTTCCTTCTCTCACATCCTCTAGGAGTGGTTCACAGTCCTGGAGCATTACCGCCGCACCCACTGTGTGGTGTCAGAGCTTATCATTGGCAATGGCTATTACTTTAGGGTGTTCAGTCATAACATAGTGGGTTCCAGTGACAGAGCTGCTACCACCAAGGAGCCTGTCTTTATTCCCAGACCAGGTGCTGTACCCTCTCTATGGGGAAGCTGGGGCAGGGGAGAGAGCCTAGCTTGGGGTGATCATCTTGGTACCAAGGCTTGTCACCAACAGGCATCACATATGAGCCACCCAAGTACAAGGCTCTGGACTTCTCCGAGGCCCCAAGCTTCACCCAGCCCTTGGCAAACCGATCCATCATTGCAGGCTACAATGCCATCCTCTGCTGTGCTGTCCGGGGTAGTCCTAAGGTAGGGACATACGTTCCTGGGCTCCCTTTGGGTAGTTTTCTCCTTACTTGATCTCTTTTCTTCTGAGGCAAGGGCTCTCTGGGTATCTGTCAGGTCCTCCCCACCTCCAACAGGGCCCAAGTGTTTGTTGGCTCTGCATTCTCAGCCATGGGCTCACTGGCACTCTAGTGGGAACCCCCAGAACAGACTCCCTGAATTCCTACCAGGTCCCATTTCACCTGAGATGTTTTCTTTCCCTCTCATGCTTTACCTGATTTACAGCCAAAGATTTCCTGGTTCAAGAATGGTCTGGACCTGGGAGAAGATGCCCGTTTCCGCATGTTCAGCAAGCAAGGAGTACTGACCCTGGAGATCAGAAAGCCCTGCCCCTATGATGGGGGTGTCTATGTCTGTAGGGCCACCAACTTGCAGGGCGAGGCACAGTGTGAATGCCTCCTGGAGGTGCGAGGTGAGGAGCCTACTGGACCAGGAGGAGGAGAAAGCAGGGTAGTGGTGAGGACCCTGGGCCTGGCTCTACTATCTTGGCTCAAGCAGCAACTCTGGCTGCTAAAGCCCGAGCCCTGGCATGCCCAATGGGAAGACACATGGTCTGGTCTTCTTCCCTCTTTCAGTGCCTCAGTGATCAGGTTGGTGCTCTAGAGATGGCCAGGTATGTATTCTAGACCACCCTGAGACCCAGGGCCAATGTCAGAAGCACGGTTTGGTCCTTGGTCTAGCCGTGGCTATCAGAGGGAGGTGCGGGGGGTGGGGGTGGGGGCTCAGTTCATTCACAAGGCAGCTTGTGTCACAGGTACAATTGGATGCCAGCCTGTATGCCAGGAGCCCAGAAGGGAAGCTGGAGGAGTGTCTCATCCCATCCCTTCACCCCCATATGTGTGTGGACCCATGTGCAAGTGTGCATCCTGGGGTGGGCAGGACTGGGCAGCAGTTATGCCAAGCAGGTCTGGTGGGCTCTGCCTACACTGACTTCACAGATCTTAGGCAGCACTGTTGCTCTTGGGAACACAAAGTGGGTGGGCTACCAAAATGCTGATGGGGGACAGGCCTTCTGACTGGCTCAGTGTGTGAGAGCAATAAAAGAGTGCAGAGAACTGACTTCCTGTCCATTTCACTCACTTCCACAGAAAAACTTCGGAGCATTTGCTTGACCATGGTAGGCATTCCATTTTCCTGGTATCCTGAATTTTGCAAGAAATTAATTAGCACTAGAAGGCATCCCCTCATTCTTCAGATGAGGAAAGTGTGGAAGCAAAAGCACCAGGAACCCCAGGCTTTCCTTCCTGGGCACAAGCATGAGCCTCATCCCAGTGACCAGGACAGCAGCTGGGCGCTGTGCTGCACTGGGTTGCATTAGGCTCCATGGAGCAATGAGCCCACAGATCATGCCACATGTGTCTTACAGGGAACACAGTGACTCTATACAGCTTCAGACACTGGGAGCCAAGACCTTCTCTGTCTTACTTCCTCCACAGAGACCCAAATCCAACATCAAGTTTCCTTTAGGATGCTGGAAGCCAGCAGGTCTCAGAGGTGCCATGAAAGTATGGTGGGTATTCTGCCCATGGAGTACCAGGTATTCCCGTGGCATAGAAATTCCATGAAGGGCCTAGACCTGGGCAGCTGCTTTGAGTTCTGCTCAATATAACATACACTCTTGGCCAAGAGCCCAGAGTCCTGGGCCTCACATCATAATACACCTGATCACACCTGTGCAAGGAAAGGTCAGAGCCTCCATTTTTGTTGTTGCTACATTATGCTGTTCAGATATGGATGCCCAATTTGGCTGCTCCCTCTAGTGGCTAGTCCAGAGCACTCTAGCCCTCTGCAGCCCTGGTGTGATAGGGAAGGAAAGCTCCCCTGCTGTCTCTCTCTGTGAACCCAAGAAGCCCAGAAAGCAGGAGGTATGAACCTGGGCCTCAGTGTGCCAGAACCTGGATGTTCATGACCTTTTTTCCATCCTTCAAGCCTGGGTGTTTATTTTATTTTAAGAATTCAGGGTTGGGTGTGGTGGTACATACCTTTAATCCCAGCACTCTAAAGGCAGAGGCAAGGCGATTTCTGTGAGTTCAAGGTCAGCCTGGTCTAGTAGTGAGTTCCAGGCCAGCCAGGACTACACAGTGAGATCCTGTCTCAAAAAAACCAAAAAACAAAAAACCTCAGACCTGGGCTGAGAGGAAGTGTCATTTAATGCAAGGCAGTCAAGGAGCCTAAGGAGAGTTAAGGACATTTATTCACATCACACAGCTGTACATTTTCTATAAATAATGTGGAGCTGAAGTATTTACATTCATCTCCTCCAAGTCCATCTCTCTTCTGGCACCATGCCACAAGACACTGTGTACAGATGGGTATGTACACTGAACTGAACTTGGCCCTGACCCACCTCTCCCTGGCTCTTGGGCAGAGTGTCCAATGGTCCCTGGAACGCTATCACCCCAACTCCTCTGTCCTCTCATGCTAAAGGCCAGGAGGACCACTACAAAAAAATCACAGCTCAGCATATGGCAGCCCCTCTGGGCCACTCACCTCAGTGATAGAGTGGTAGCAGGTCACAGCATGACCGGTGGCCAGAGCTTAGGAATTGCATAAGGAAGCAGAAATTTTGCCCAGCTGCCCCCCAAATCGTCCCTTCTTTCTCTTGCCCACCCCACATCCAAGAAGATTAGCCTCAAGTGCCTCTTACTTCCCAGAGTGGAACTGTCTCTGGTATCCTATAGTGCCAGATCATAGAGGACGGAGAGAAGACTCCTACACTAGAGGGTATGAGGACAAAGACATGGAACCACAGTGCATACATCTCAAGGACACGCAGCGGTGGGCTCATACTGGCCCCACAGGCACACACACTCTCTGGAACCCTGAGGGGACAATAGGCTGGTCTGGGAGAGAAGGAGAAGGTGCAAAGGACAAGCTTAGCCCTGTGACAAACATATACAAAGATGCGCTCAAACATAAAATGGAACCAGCTAAGCTGTGGCAAGGAGCTTGCAGAGAGCGTACACGCATTATCCCCTTCTCAGTCACAGCGGCTTCGGCGCTTGGGAGCAGCAAGAAGTGAGGGGCAGCCCCTGAGCTGGGCCAGCTGTGTCAGGCCCCACCCCATCAGCTAGAGACCGGCCGAGGTGGGGTTCTGAGATCTTCTTCACTGCTACGAACTGCAGCCACATAGGAGAAGAGACACAACACAGAGTAGCAGATCTCGTGGGCCTAGAGGGGACAGAAAACCAGGCAGATGAGCCACACTGAGGTATCTGCACCTTCACACATGGAGGGTCAACCCAGAGTTCAAGGCCTGCCCTAAAACTAGGCACAGGCCTCTGGGCTGAAGTGTACCCTAAGCAAGTCCTCAGAATCTTTTCCCCTGGGAGAAGGGATCAGTATATGTACAGTCCCTAGGGTTGAAGATATAGTTTGACTTCAGTTGAACATTTTGGCAACTAGACAAGTCCCTACAAGGACCCACCCGTCCTGTCCAAAGATCCCCAGGGAGCCCTGTGTGCTTTGGCCTGTCATGGTTGAGTGGCATACTTACCATTGGTGTCTTGTACTTGTGGCTCACCACTTCTTTAATTTCAGGAACTAAAACCGGACACAGGCAAGAGACAAAACAGAAAGTTCAAAACTAAGAGTAATAGTGTTATGTTCCCTCAGGTGGTGGTGCCCGGCACCAGGATCCCCTTCCCCTCTGTGTCCTCTCACAGTGGCTGCAGCAACTTGGGCTATGACAGAGCAGATGCTGCCCTGTCCAGCCAGACTCCTTAGGCTGTCCAGGCAGACTCTTCAGCTAGACATCTGGTCTGCCGTGGCTCTTACTCGATGACTGGGATCTACATACTTCTTTGGAGGCCCCAAGATGGAAGGGCTGGTCATTCTCCAGCCTGGTCACAGCTACTGTCCAGGGTCTTTGACGAGTTGCAGTGGGGAAGATAATGAATGGTCTCTAGCCTGTGCCTCACCTTGCTAAGACACCTGTGAATTCATCCTTGTCACCAGCCCACAAACCTAGTCATGTTATGGTTCCCCTGGCCCCACACAGAGGGTCATAAGGCTACATGAAGTAACATAATACTAAACCCATCAGACTTGAAAGTGTCCTTCCCTGTGAGGCAGGAGAAGCTCAGGACTGCCTGTGTGAGGGAGAGCGTCAGAGGGCTCTGGAGCAGACACACTGAGCAAGAGAGACAGGTGAGTACAGCACTCAGGTGAAAGTGACGGGGAGCTTCAGGCAAATACACACGTCCACAGCCCAGAATGCAAGATTAGGAATCACCTCCTCCCAGCCATGCAAGGGGCTCTGCCTGGCCAGAGGATTCCCCAGGCCCAGCCATCAGTGTGGACCTGTGAGACTGGGAAGAGGGAGTTACTACTCCCTGGGGGCCAGAAAAGGTAGGATGAGAGTTGGCCACACCTTCTTCTGACCTTGGGAGGTAGAATTCAGGGGACCCCGTGTTAGCATGAAATAAACTTGTCAAAGGCAGAGCAAAATGCTCCAGGTCATTCTCCTGAGTTGGAAGAATTCCACAAATATGTCTCTGGCAGAAGGTGGGGGGCACTCAGAACCAGTGAACCGGCACGAGAGGGAGGGGCATTGGAAAGGAAGAAGGTGGGAGAGAAAGGAAGAGACTACTGGCCATGTGAGCAGCTGGTTTGAAGGGAGCCCACCCACCCACTGCAGGGGCCTGGGGAGAGGCAGCACGAGCCGAGGTCACTTTACCTGCTGGAGAACGAAGGTTTTCATAGCAGCGATGAGGGGCACAAAAGAATGAAGCACAAACACAGCAGGAACTCAAAGCCCCAGGGTGAGAACCCACTATACCAGTCCTTAGCGCTTGCAGGGGGAGACTGATTCCAGTTTCCGGATATACCTGTCCCTTCTGCCTTTGAGGCCCACTAGGCTTCTATGGCCTCAATTGAGTCTGCCTGTGATGCCTCATGCCCAGCTCTAGCGCAGAGGCCAGGTGGACCCAGAGCAGTGCCAGGGAGGCTGGGTAGAGCACTGTTGGGCTGCTAGAGAGATGGCAGCAGGCAACATGGACATAGCAGAGCTAGGGGACCACCAGTCTGCTCTGCCCCAGAACTTTCTGACCACTGGCTGGCCAAACAAGGGAAGAGGGTGGTACTTCATTACCGTCCCTAGACTCTAACCTGCTGAAGGCTCCTGGCTCTTCAGGGACCACAGGCTGTTTTGTCTTTCTCTGTCCCTTCTGTCTTCCCAGGGCTCTTTTTCCTCCCTGTTCCTCCTCAGCTCTCTGCAGAGGCTTTTGCCCCCCCTGCCCCTAGACCCTCCTCTGGAGCTCCAAGGTTTGAATTACTGCCATGTGAGTCCAGACCTAAGAGCAAAATAGTGTAATTACCAAATTCTTCCAGGACAAAGACGCCTCGAACTGTATTGCACTTTTTAATGTGATTCAGCTCTATGAAAACCTGCAAGAGAGGGAGGGAGGGTGGGGTAAGGCCCAGAGGCTCTGCCCCTGCCCCACAAAGCCCACTCTCCCAGTTACAGCCCCATGTCCCCCCAGGAAATCTAGTTCCCGAAGGGAGGACAGAAGAATTCACGCACACACAATCAAAAGCGCTAAGAAGCGAAGAAAGCAGAAAGGGCAAGTACCTTCCGCTCCTGGCCGGAGGAGAAAGCATGGGAGAGAAATGAAGGCATTAGTTTTAATGGTCAAACCCAACCCAAAGGCCCCTCTGCTGACCTGGGCTGCCCGTCCACACCCTCTGCCCAGGGCAGCACTCATAGGATACGGTGCCCAAGGAATCCCTGGCTCAGCCCATTAGGTCTCTATCCTTCCATACATCCTCCTCCGGCGCAGAGGGCTGGCACGGGCGCAAAGCTCCCCTCAGACTGTCCTTGGGGTGGGAGATGTTCATATCTTCCTTGACACAGGATCCAGGACCTCCCAAGAAGTATGCAGTAACATTAATAACAGCTACCACCTGCTGAGCACTGGCTTGTCATTTTACAAATACTATTCCTACTATTCATAACTAGATGGCACAGTCTACAGTACTGCCCCCATCTTACAGATGAGAAATAACTCAGAATACTTATTTGCCCATGAACAATGAAGCTGGGGCTCATATACAGCACATCTTGACTCTAAATCTGTGCTTTTCCCATTTGTTACCTCAAGCTGTATAACCACACTGCAGGAGGGTCTAGAGCTTTGCCCACCCCAGCTGCTTGTTGTATGGAGAAGATGGGCTGCAAGTCATTGCTCCATTATCACATCAGACTGTGGAGTCAGACCCAGGAGCCAGCCTGCACCATTGCTCCCTGCTGGATGCCTCTCCTAGGAGCCAAGCCTTCCATAGCAGAGCAGCTTGGACATGCCATGTAACTATGTGGTAGGCGCAGGGTGGGGTGCTACTGAAGGCAGGTCAAGGAGATGGGCAGGGTATCTGAGCATGAATTACAAGAGCTCATCTTCAGATGGGGGATACAGCACTGAAATGGGGTCAGAAGCTACATCCCAGGAAGAGCCAGCACCTTTGTGGTTCAGAAAAGTGCACAGGCAATCCCTCCTTGGGCTGATCCTAAGATCTTCAGGGGTTTGCTGCCACGCTGGGTCCCAGATTGGAAATACACTAATAGACTGACAGGATGCTTAGGCAGCCATTTCCTGTTGCACCAAAACTTCCCAGCTAGGTGTCTTTCTAGCAAAATTGGCAAGTGGGGGGACCAGAGACACATAAAGTCAGATATCCACCTCCCCTGAGTTTCTGTTGCCTGGCCAGGGGCTGCAGGGTATCACATTGAGAGCTGGTTCAGAGCCTGGGGGATAGGAACCAGAACATCAGGGGAGGGGAGAAAAGGCACTTGTGTGAAGAATCAGAGCCGGGAACGGACCTGGGATGATGCGCTGGCCTCAGAGGGAATTAGCTTAAGGAATGTCCACTGAGAGAAAAAGTAGCACTGTGTTAAAAGACGAAGAGGAAAAAGAAAAGTCAGCTCCTAGGGTGGAATCACAATAAGGGAAGAGGATCCTGAAGTGCTCCCCCGTCAAAAGAAGGGGCACGAGGCCTGTGGAGCAGGGCAGAGTGGAAATACCCAAAGGCAGGGAAAGAACAAGAAGAATCAGCAGAAGGTAAAGGCAAACACCCATACTCTTAAGAGGAGAGAGACAAGACAGACCAGACAGGCAGGCAGGCACACACACACGGTTCAGGCACATCAGAAATACATGAGGACATCAGCCAGTTTAGACTCTCAAAGCGAAGCACACCCTGGGAACACAGGAAGGTAGAGACAAGCAAGAGGGGCCAAGTGAGACGCTCCCACTCACACTGTGTGAGTCTAATGGATGGGCAGCAGAGCCACCAAGCCTCTCTCTTTTCCAGCTCCACCACAGGCTCCCTGCTGCATCTTTTCAGAGCCTGGTGGTCTCACCAAGGTCACTGTGCCCTCCCCTTTGACTTCTCTCTTAGTTCAGTCATCCACCTCTTCCTCTGACCCAAGGCTCTCCCTCTTGCTCATTGGGAGAGCACTGAGAGCCTGAAAACTGATCCTTACTATGGGTGGAACAACAGGGCCAGGAGGCCTTGTGCTGCTGCTTGTGCCTACCTGGTTGTGCATGAACTTGAGATTGATTCCTTCCAGGGTGACTTGAAGCAAACCACCCTCTCCAGTCTTCATGTCCTGCACAGGGAACTCACCACCTAGTTCAGGCCCTGTGGTAAGGGAGGAGGTTGTCAGCTAATTGGTGAGGTGGGGAATCCCCCAGCCCTACTTCTTAACCAGGTCTTTGGCAGTCAGAAGAAAGACAATCTCTCCTGGAATGTCTGATCCTCACCGGGTTTGATGCTTTGTTGTCGGGCGGCAGCACGCTCCATGCTATCCTTCACACAGTAGTAGAGCTCCCGACACTGCAGCACAGGGGGGAGAGAACTGTCCTGTGATGGGAGCCTTCCAGGGTTCCCTGTTCCCTGCTCTGTGTCCTGTGATGGGAGTCTTCCAGGGTTCCCTGTTCCCTGCTCTATGGCTGCTGATGGCTGGGGCCAATGGCAGGACTCAGAGCCAGCTTAAGTTATTCCACACAAGATCTGGAGGCCAAAGTATGGCTCTAGGTATGAATTTCGGAATTTTAACTTCCCAGCAAGAAACTCAGCACTTAGCCCCAAATGCCTACCCAATCCCTAATTCAAACAGAAATCCCGAGTACCTTCTTAGTATAGAACTTGTTGAGCTGGGTCTCAGAACCATTTCGACGCCATAAGCACAGGACCTTGGTCTTGGGACAGTAGGTCATATTGATGAGCTTCTCATACCACCAGCGCTCATACACTGTCCCGATGTTACTACGTAACACCACACAGTCATCACACACCTGGGGATGTGTACAGAGTATGTCAGTGGTAGTCTCTTGACAGTCTTTTCCATCCCAGGCCACACTATGTGTGTCCCGCAAGGAAAGGATGGCATGGCTAGTCCTGGGAGTGAACCCCGTGATCAGGTTTTCTGCCCAGTACTCACAGTCCCCCTAGGGAGAGACACAAACAGAACTGCTGGACATACTGTCTCGTAGAGAGAGTACTTATAGAAATGAAGCCTTCAAAGGGGCCTTGTACAAAGAAAGAGGTGCATTATCCAAGTCCATGTGTATACTGCCTCATATATGATCTCTAGACAAAGTATTCCAATTGTATCTCTGTCTTCACCTTACAACCATGTGGAGAAATCAGCTCTTATGACAAACACAAAGGCAGACTTAACCAAGGAGAAAAAAACTAAAGTCAACACATTTTCTAGTCTTGGCTCCTCCCTCCCTATTCCTATAAAAATACTTTTAAAATTACCTAAGCTGGGCTGGGTGTGGTGGCATGCCTTTAATCCCAGCACCCAGGAGGCAGAGGCAGGCAGATCTCTGTGAGTTCAAGGCCAGCCTGGTCTACATAGTGAGTTCCAGGGCAGCTGGGGCTAGGGAGACCCTGTCTCAAAAAGACCAAAAAAAAAAAAAAATTGCCTAAGTCAGGGCTGGAGAGATGGCTTAGCGGTTAAGAGCATTGACTGCTCTTGCAGAGGACCCGGGTTCGATTCCCAGCACCCACATGGCAGCTACAAACCGTCCTTAACTCCAGTTCCAGGGGAATCCGACACCGTCTTCTGACCTCGCGGCATTGCAGGACATGGTGCACTCACATACATACATACATGCGGGCAATACACTCATAGACATAAAATGAAAATAATAAGAAATTACATAAGTATAGCTGGGTGTGGTGGCACACACCTTTAGTCCCAGCACTCAGGAGGCAGAGGCAGGTGGATCTCTGTGAATTTGAGGCCAGCCTGGTCTAGATAGTGAGTTGCAGGCCAGCTGGGGCTACAGGGAGACCCTGTCTCAAAAAGACTCCCCAAAAGTTACATAAGTGACACATGAATGATAGTCACTGCATTAAAGTTACTCAATCTAGGCTGTTAAGAAGTAAAGTCCACTTTTTCATGCTCTTCTTGTTCAACAGTCCCCTTCAGATAGACTTACCCATTCTCACAGCTTCAATGGTTGTGGAGACATTGCAGCATGCTGGTTAAGAGCATGGGTCCAAAGCCAGCCTGCCTGGGTTGAGATCCCAGCTCCACCATCACCTACCTATGTCATATTGAGCAAGTTCTTCTGTCTGCAGTTCCTCATGTGTAAGGTGAGGACCATTAATAGTAAGAACTACAGGGAGGATTAAATGTGGTAACATGCATAAAATTCTTTTAAAACTATTTTTATTACATTTAGTTGTGTGTATATGTGTGTGGGTATGTGTATGTATGTACGAGTGCTCATGGAGGTCAGTGTTATCAGATCCCCCTAGAGCTGGAGTTGTGCAATTGTGAGCTGCTTGACGTGGGTGCTGGGAACTGAATGCAGGTCTTCTAGAAGAACAGTACACACTCTTAACCACTGAGACATCCCTCCAGCCCCTGCATAAAATTTTTTGTTCTTTTTTCTTTTTGTCTCCCTGTAGCCCCTGCTGTCCTGGAACTCCCTGTGTAGGCCAGGCTGGCCTCTGTCTCACAGAGATCTGCCTGCCTCTGCCTCCTGACTGCTGAGATTAAAGGCATGTACCACCATGCCAGGCCTTCATAAAATTCTTAATGTGCATCCCCAGGCATAGGCCTGGGAATATAGCTTAGTGGTAGAGCAGTTGTACATAGAAAGTACCCTGTTAGCTACTTTGAAAATATATTTGTGGTATAAAAATATGATAATTAGGGTTGGAGAAATGGTTCAGCAGGTAAAGGTACTTGTTGCACAAGCCTAGTGACCTGAGTTTGATCTCCAGAACCCATGTAATGGTGGAAGGAGAGGACCAACTCCACAAAGTTGTCCTCTGATCTCTACACATATGCAGTGGCACATGTGCCCCCCATCACACATCATGTACATCCACATCAGTAGTCAGTAAATCATAAAATATATAATACTATTAACATTGATTTTTTTTGTGTGTGTGTGACATGGTTTCCCTGTAGCCCCAGCTGTCCTGGAACTCATTATGTAAACCAGGCTGGCCTTGAACTCAGAGATCCATCTGCCTCTGCCTCCTGAGTGCTGGGATTAAAGGCGTGTACCACCACACTCGGCCCTATTATTTTATGTGTATGTGTGTATTGCCTGCATGTAGGTAAGTGCACCTGTGTGTGCAATGCCCACGGAGGACAGAAGAGGCTGTCAAATCCCCTGGAACTGGAGTTACGGACAGTTGTTTGCTGACATGTGGGTGCTGGGATTCAAACCCAGGTCTTCTGCAAGAACAACCAGTGTTCAACCACTGAGCCATCTCTCCAGCCCCCTAAGTCTCTTATAGTAAATGGTTCCACCATCCATCCAGCTGCCCAATCCAGAAATGAAGGAGTAACACCCCACAACTATAGTTCTACCTAAAATATCTCTGGATTGCGCTTGTCTTCTCACTTCAATCATTAGCTCATTAACTCTTTTTCTTCTTAAAACATTAAAAAATTTTTAGTATGTGTGTGTCTTAGTTAACTTTCTATTGCTGTGATAAAAAACACTGTCCAAAGTGGGCATGGTGGTACATGTCTTTAATCCCAGCACTTGGGAGGCAGTGGCAGGTGGATTTCTGTGAGTTCGAGGCCAGGCTGGTCTACAAAGGGAGTTCCAGGTCAGCTGGGGCTACAGGGAAACCCTGTTTCAAAAAGACCGAAAAAAAAAAACCAAACAAAAAAACAAAAATCCCAACTTGGGGAGGAAAGGATTTATTTTATCTTACATCTCCTGGATCACACACCATAGGAGTCTGCTGCTTACTGGCTTGCTCCCTTGGCCTGTACTCAGCTTGCTTTTTTTTTTTGTCTTTTTGAGAGGTCAGAGGGCAATGTGCAGAACTCAGTTCTCTCCCTCTACCATGTGGGCCCTAGGGATCAAACTCAGAGGGTCATCAGGCTTGGCAGCAGGTACCTTTACTAGCTTGGGCCATTTTGCTAGTGCTCTAACCATTAACTCTTTCTCTCTCTCTCTCTCTCTCTCTCTCTCTCATCTCTATCTATCTATCTATCTAATCTATCTATCATCTATCAATCTATCTATCATCTATCTATCTATCTATCTATCATCTATCCATCCATCCATCCATCCATCCATCCATCCATCCATTGGGGTGTGTGTCTGTATATGTGCATATGTACAGGTGGAGACCAGAGGTCAACCTTGGGTGTTAGTCCTCAGGAACTGTCCACTATGTTTTTTGAGAAGGGTTCTCTTCCTGGGGCCTGGGGCTCACCAGTGAGGTTGGGATGGCTGGTCAGTGAGCCCTGGCTGCCTCACCAGTTCTGAAACTGTAAATGTGTGCTACCATGCCTGGGTTTTTATGTAGGTGTAGGTGACTGAACTCAGGTTATCAGGCTTTCAAAGCAATTACTTTACTGACTGAGCTATCTCTCCAGGCCTCTGTGTGTGTGTGTGTGTGTGTGTGTGTGTGTGTGTGTGTGCAGATGCACATGTGTGTGCTTGTGAGTAGAGGCCAGAGGACAACTTTGGGTGTTTTTCCTTAAGTGCTATCTACCTCCCCCTTCTTTTTGGGTCTCTCATTGGTCTCAAACTTGCCAAGTTAGGCTAGGCTGGCTGTCCAGAGAGCTCCAGGGACCTGTCTCCATCTCCCCAGTGCACCTTTATGCCTGGCTTTAAAAAATTTTTAAAAAAGAATTTATTTTATTATTTAAAAAAATTTTTGTATGTGTGTGTGTGTGTGTGTGTGTGTGTGTGTGTGTGTGTGTGTGCACATTTGAGTGCAGGTGACTGTGGAGGCCAGAAGAGGGCATTAGATCCCCTGCAGCTAGAGTTGCAAGTGGTTGTAAGTTGCTTGATGTGGGTGTGGGGACAGAAGTTGGGTCCTCTGCCAAAGCAGTACATGCACTTAACCACTGAGTCATCTCTATAGCCCCCACCCCCCAGCTTTATTTTTTAATATGGTTCTAGGGATCAAACTCCAGTCTTCTGTAACAAATGAGCTATCTTCCCAATCCCTGAACCACTAAGTTTTAATTTTTTTTCAGAAAGATAATTTATTAATGACATTTCAACAATGGGTCTCCCTGTAGCCCCAGCTGGCCTGGAAATTGCTACGTAGACCAGGCTGGCCTCAAACTCACAGATTCGCCTGCCTCTGCCTCTTGAGTGTTGGGATTAAAGGGTGTGCACCACCACACCTGGCTTCTGTTTTTAATTTTTAAAAATTTATTTTTTAACGTGCATAAGTGCTTTGCCTGCATGTACAAGTACACCACGTGCATGTAATGCCCACAGGGGCCAGAAGAGGGCACTGGGTTATCTGGAATTGGAGTTAGGAATGGTTATTAGCCACTATGTAGGTGCTAGGAACTGAACCAGGGGCCTTTGAAAGAGAAGCCAGTGTTCTTAACCACTATACCATCTCTCCAGACCCTGCCTCTAACTCTTAAGTGCTAGAATTATAGGTATGTGCATCACCACCCCTGTTTTATGCGGTACTAGGGATTGAACACAGGGCTCTGTACATGCTAAGAAAGCACTCTACCAAATGAGCTAGAAGAACTTTACACATCTTTCTCTTTTGGTAAGGTAGCTTACCAAACACAGAGGATTTTGTTCTGAAGCAGGAATGCTTCTGTCAGTGTGGCTAAGAGTAACTTTCATGTTATCCCCTTGAAATGTCAGAATTTAGCTAGGTTGCCAGGCATGGTGGTGCTTACCTTTAATCCCAGCACTCAGAAGGCAGAGACAGGCAGATTGCTGTGAGATTGTAGGCCAGCCTGGTCTACATAGTGAGTTCCAGGCCAGCTGGGGCTAGAGGGAGATCCTGTCTCAAAAAGATCAAAAACAGAAAGAAAGAAAGAAAATAAACATATCCTTAGGAGGCACTCTTGCCAAAATAATGAATCTGAAATTGAGCCTCTAGACTGAGCTAATAGTTTATAAGAAACGCAATGATAGAGAAACATGTCAATGACATCTAGGAGATGCAATAACCAAGAAGTCTAGAATATGAAATACTCTAAGAACCAATAATCAAATTTCTTCAACAAAATAGTTGGCAAAGGGGTAGAACCTATCTTAAGAATACTTGAGTCATATCCACCGAAATTACAAATACATAGTCAGTTTTGTCCAGCAACCCTACTCCTGGGAATTCTTACAGACTTATCTGCATTCATATGAAATTAAGACGGCACAATGTCATTTATGGTAGCTCTAATATCAACAGCAAAAAGCTGGAAGCAAGCCAGCTTTGTATATACTGACCAGCTAATTAAACTATAGCACACATAGTGGAATATATGTAGCTGGAGAAAGAATAAGAAATCAGGGCACAGTGGCCCACACCTTTCATTCCAGCACTCAAAGGCAGACGCAGGTGGAGATCTGTGAGTTCCAGGTGAGAGGGAAGGAAGGAAGGAGGGAGGGAGGGAGGGAGGGAGGGAGGAAGGAAGGAAGGAAGGAAGGAAGGAAGGAAGGAAGGAAGGCAGGAAGGAAGGAAGGAAAGTTGGTTCTTTTTCATAGGAACCAGCAGGAAAATATTTAATGACAAAACAAGGCATAGGCCAGTGAACAGGTGATAAAACCACATGAACATTGTCCTAGTTACTGTCTGTTGCTGTGATAAAACACTGACCAAAACCAACTTGGGGAGGAAAGGGTTTATTTCCTCTTACTCTTCTAAGTGACAGTCCATCACCGAGGGAGGAACTTAAACGGGGCAGGAACCTGGAGGCAGGAGCTGAAGGAGAGACCATGGAGGAGCACTGCTTATTGGTTTGCTCTTCTGGCCTGTGCTCTGCCTGCTTTCTTATACAGCCCAGGACCACTTTCCCAGGGGTGGCATCACCCACAGTGGGCTGAGCCCTCCCATATCACTCAACAAACAAGAAAATGTCTCACAGATATGCCCATAGGTCAATCCAATAGAGGAAATTCCCCAACTGAGGTTTCCTCTTCCCACTTGACAGCTGAAGCTATCCAGCACAGCCACAAATCAGAGCAACATAAAATAGTACACATTGGGAGGTCTTGTAGTATCTTTCTGTGAAAAGGGGGGAAATATTAATCTGTGTTCATATCTTATTGTTTGCTTAAAACCTACTGGATGATACAAAGAACACTAATAAAATGGTTACCTGTAGGATGAAAGGAGGAGGTAGGTGGGAAACTGAGTGGATGTAGGGATTAGGATGAGCACAAGACCTTCCAAAGCATATTCTTTTATGACATTCCAATTTATGGATAATATGATTATTATATCACCCATTCAATATACATAAAATAAATGGTGAGGAATCATCTAGTAACTTAACTATTTGCATAAAATAACCTGATAATTTAATGATAAATCACAAAGACGAATGAGATAGGTGGGAAGCAGTCTAGGAATTCCTTGTGTTTCTTAAATATTTTTCTGGCTCTCCAACATGAACCAGAACCTACCTCCATGAAAAAGATATCTCCATTTGTGTCTGTCCCTGCATGTACCACAAACGTCTGCTTCTTCATGTGTCGGCTACCACTGGACCGGATGGAGAGATCACGTCCATTCTAAGGAAAAAGATAGGTAGAGACGTTCATATGTTCCTCTCACATTTAGAGAGAGATTAAAAATCCCCACTCAGCCATTAAGTTCATATAAGTATCCTTAGTAGAATCTTATCTGTAAGCCACAGGGAAGTACTCAAGGAGTTTTTGGAGTCAGGATCCACATGCCTCTCAAAAATTATTGAGGATAGCCAGGTGTGGTAGCGCACGCCTTTAATCCCAGCACTCGGGAGGCAGAGGCAGGCAGATCTCTGTGAGTTCAAGGCCAGCCTGGTCTACATAGTGATTTCCAGGCCAGCTGGGGCTACAGGGAGACCCTGTCTCAAAAAGGCCAAAAAAAAAATTTATTGAGGATAAAAAAAAAATATTGGGGATCTGGAGCTGGAGATGGCTCAGTGGTTAAGAGCACTGGCTGCTCTTGCAGTGGACCTGGGTTCAATTCCTAGCACTCACATGGCAGCTAACAACTGTCCTTAACTCCAGTTCCAGGGGATATGACTTTCTGACCTCCGAGGGCACTGCACAACATAGATACACTTACATACATGCAGGCAATACACTCATACACAAAAATGAAAACAACAGATAAATATATATATATTTTTAATTATTGAGGCTCCTAAAGACTTTTGCTTATTTGAGTTATATTTATATTTACTATACTAGAAATAGTAATAAAATTTAATGTTTATTGATTCATTTAAAAATAATTCATTGACTCAAAAAGACCAAAAAAAAATCACTGATAACCAAACACATGATAAGTAACATGCCTTTTATAAAATATATTTTCCCTAACAATAGCAACAACAAAAAATAGCAATGTTTACTTATTTGCAAATCTCTTTAATGTTTGGCTTAAGATAAAATAGCTGCATTTTTTGTTGGGCTTGGTGACACACATCTCACTCAGTAGAATCACAAATTTGAGGCCAGCCTGAGCTATACTGAAAGGAAAGAAATTGGGAGAGAGAGGCAGCTATCCCTGGGGCCCCAACACCTCATAAATGACACATGTGGTACACACCTATGATTTCCAGCTTAGGGGGTAGAGGCACAGGAAGATCAGAAGTTCAAGGTCTTTCTCAGCTACATAGTGAATTTGAAGCTAGCCTTCATGTAACATGAAGACTTAGTTTCACTAAAAAAATAATGGGCTGAAGAGATGGCTCAGCAGTTAAGAACACCCATTGTTCTTCCAGAGGACTAAGGTTTAGTTCCCAGCATCCATATGGGGGCTGATAACTATCTGTTATCCAGTTCCAGAGGATCCAATGCCCTCTTCTGGCCTCCAAGGGCACTATATACATGTGGTACAGCTACATACATGTAGACAATACTTGTATACATAAAAATAACATTTTTTAAAATCTTTAAAAATATCTGGTGGGGGGGCTGGAAAGATGGCTCAGCAGTTAAGAACACTGACTGTTCTTGCAGAAGATCCAGGTTCGAATCCCAGCACCCACATGGCAGCTAACAACTATCTGAAATTCCAGTGCCAGGGGATCCTACAGCCTCTTCTGTCCTCTGTGGGCACTGCATGACATGGATGCACTTACATACATGCAGGCAATACACACATGCACATAGAATAAAAATAATAAATTTTAAAAATTGTCATTAAAAAAATAGCTGGGGTAGTGGGAAGCTGGAGAGATAAGATAAGCAGTTAAGAGTACTGGCTGCTCTTGCAGAAGACTTGGGTTCAGTTTCCAGGAACCACATGGTAGCTAACAACCATCCCTAACATCCCAGGGATCCAACTTCCTCTTCTGACTTCATATACATAAAATAAAAATAATAAGATAATTTTTGAAAAAATATCTGGGTGTGCAGGGTGTGGTGATGCGTGCCTTTAATCCCAGCACTCAGGAGGCAGAGGCAGGCAGATCTCTGTGACTTCAAGGTCAACCTGATCTATATAGTGAGTTCTAGGCCAGCTAGGGCTACAGGGAGACCCTGTCTCAAAAAAGATTAAAAAAAAAAGCTGTAGTACCTTCAATCCCAACACTCAGGAAGCAGAGATAGGTGGATCTCTGTGATTTCAGGCCAGTTTGGTCTACATAGCAAGTTCCAGGCCAGCCTGAGCTGTAGAATGAGACCCTGACTGAAGGAAAAAAATCCAACCAACCAGAAAAATAAATAAATAAAATAAATAAATGAGGTGAGGTCTGGTAAGACAGCTCAGCAGATAAAAGAGCATATTGCCATGTCTGACATCCTGTTTGATCCCTGAAACCCACATGGTGGAAAGGGAGAACCAACTCCAGCACATTGTCCTCTGACCTCTGCATATTGGTGCACGTGCATATGTACAAGCATAATAAATAAAACATAATTTAAAAATAAGAGCTAAAAAAATAAATATAGAAAAAGACAAGAAGGGGCTAAAGAGGTGGCTCAACAGGTAAGATCACTGGCTGCTCTTACAGAGGGCCCGGGTTTGATTCTTAGCACACACATGGCGGCTAACAAATATGCATAACCCCAGTTCCAGGGAATTTGACATCATCTTCTAACCTCTGTGGGCATTGCATGACATGGGTACACTTACATACATGCAGATAAAAATAAAAATAATAAATTA